AAATCGACTGGACTGTTTATGAAGTCATGGAAGTTGAAGATGATGAACCTTTAAAAAATATTTCAGAGAAACCTGTTATAAGCTTTTTTAATGAAAATGATGAATCCCCTTCTCCACTGCTACCAGCAAATGATTTTCTTTCGAGATTACAATTCAGACAAGCTCCTTACGATGTTCCACCAATTTATCAAGGAGTTCGTTTTATGGTTTATTGCATACTTGCAAAAGGAGTCGTACCTAAAGAGAATATTACACTTTCCGCAATGTCTCAGGACGGTCCAATGAGATTGGAAATTCCAGTGGATCCCGTCAAACTGGAGGGATCTAAAATACATACGCTTGCAGCACGCAAACTCATACAAAATCTTGAAGATGGAACTTCGTTTCTTCATAACCATCAGAAATATCAAGGAAAACAAGTTCCTAATTCTGTTGTTCGTAATCAGATCGTTTCTCTAAGTAAAACATATAGTTTGGCATCCCGTTATACGAGGTAAACTTTTGATATTTATATAATAATTTCTTTTTCAATGTTAATGACTTTAATTTATAGTTTTATAGCGATTGATGAACGAGATATAGATATGACCAAAGAACAGGATAATAAACCACTACAAAGAGTGGTGCCAAACTATATCCCACCCAATTATCATGTTTTTGGAAGGAGCTACGCAAGCACGGGTTCCTCTTTGTTCAACAACAGTAAACACGCGGTTTTTGGTGCACCACCTCCTTCAGGTGGTCCTGGTAGTGGATCTACACCATTCAGTGGACAAACCCAAAAGAGCTTTTTCGGCCCAAATCCAGCTTTTGGATTTGGCAGCGCACAAACACAAAGACCAACACCAACACCATACTCTTTATTTTACAACGCACAAGCACCAACACCAGCTTTGGGATTTTGCAGCGTACAAACACAAGCACCAGTTTTTGGCGAACAACCACGAACGCAAGCTTTTGGCGCACAAGCACAAACAACAGCTTTTGGATTTGGCAGTGCACAAACACAAACACCAGCTTTCGGAGCAAAACTTACAACAACCAGCGGATCTAATTCACTATTTGGTGGATTTCAACCAAATCAAGAAGACAACATGTCAAATTTGCCGAATCTATCACAATTTGGTGGATTCGCAGTTACAACTCATGCATCTCCAACAGTAAATCTAAATTCATCAAATACAACA